AAAATATAATATATGTTTTCTTACGGAAAAATCACAGTCGACCAATTCTGTATACATTTCTGTGGTTTACGCATTAATTTTACCCATCGTGAGTATTAGAATATATTAGATTACGATTTACAGAAGAGTAATTGGCACGTTATGACAAGGAAAGGAAGATCAATATTAGGTAAGGCTAGGTGGGGTTAAGTTTAATTTAGGTTTGGTTAGGTTAGATTAGGTAAGTTGGGTTAGGTTAGGTTAGGTTAGGATGGGATAGGTTAGGAGACGAAGACCAATCTTCCTCTTTTTCAGAGCCGACATGGACGCAATCACACAGAACATAACCAGCTTCAACACTTTTCTACAGATTCCCTCACAAGACCATTTACCTCTAAATCATCATCATCAAGGGGGCTGACGCCGACGGGGGCGCATAGCCGCATCCACCCTTCGCTTCCACCTACGAGGATCCCTCATGGCTAGACGCCAGGCAGGGACTCGGCCCATCTCTATTTCTTCACGGCAGGTTTGGTCGATCTGCCAAGCCACGACTTCCTCGGCCGCCCCACAGGCCTCCTCCACCCAGGGTTGTCTCGAACAGAGACGACCTGATGGGCAGGATCATCCTCTAAATGGGATAACCTTAAACTCACCATACTCACATTCATGGACAAACAAATACCACAAAAAACACCTTCAAGTAGACATACACTTCCTTGGTTCTCCAGTGATCTACACAAACAACATCGTAAGAAACATCGACTCTACAAGCGCGTGCAAACATACAAGTTTCCTGAAAATTGGACTGCTTTCAAATAACAAAAAACATTTTCCAAAAACATAAAGAAAGCAGAACACAAACACATTTCCATCTACCTTGCAAACACCGTCAGAAACAACTCTAAACACATTTTCAAATTCTTCAAGTTGCGCAGACACGACACTACGGCGACCACAGCCATAAAAGACTCCAACAGAACCAGAACACAAAACACGTTTACTCAACACTCATTTCCAATCTGTTTCACACACGAAGATGATAACACACCCATCATACCAGACAGCCTTTTCCCCCCAATCCCGCCGTTGACATCACGACTAACGGCATACTGAAACTACTGTCCACACTTGACACCAATAAAGCCACTGGACCAGTCCAAATGCCTTGATCCTCAAGTCCTGTGCCCCTCTCCTTGCTCCCATCCTTCAATCCATCTTCTCTCAATCACTCACCTCAAACATTCTACCGGTTGACTGGCTTTGTGCAAACATCCCTCTTCTTTTCAAGATACGAGACTGACCTGACCCTACTAATTATCGCCTAACTCTTCTGCTAGACTTTTTGCTGACAACTACAGACTTCTCCAGCAAGACATAGACCAGGGACCGGAAACCTTTTAAGCACAATGTGCCAATTTATAATTAATGCCATCTTATTAATAACCTTGCGTGCCAGTTTTTTTCAGCACTGTATGCCCAAGTGTATTTTCCTGCACATGCATAACATCAATGTAATAAATTTGTAGCATTTAGTAATCTTTGTATAAAAAAAATGTACGTTTCATAATTTTAGATTTATATTCATGATATTAATATCTGGAAACACTGAGATTCAAACAACCCTCAGAATGAACCGTTGTAAGCCTGCTGCGATGAGGACTGAGGGTATGCTGCATGAGTGAAAACATCTGGCTCACATTGGTATATAGAACCAAATGCTGATAGCAATGCCAAAGCTACTTTCTTCATGCAACTGAATTTATCAGACAGTGGTGACCGGGAACTTAATATGGTGGCTACAATATTTCTCGATTTTAAAATTTTGCTGACCATAATGATAAGACTTTCTCTCTCTCTCTCTCTATCTCTCTCTATCTCTCTCTCTATCTATCTTTATCTCTCTCTCTCTCTCTCTCTCTCTCTCTCTCTCTCTCTCGCTCTCTCTCTCTCTCTCTCTCTCTCTCTCTCTCTCTCTCTCTCTCTCACACACACACACACACTCAATTTTATTTAGCTGTTTAACCTTTTTTCTTTGCTCCTCTGAATCACATACCGTGCCATACACAAGCGCTCTGCGTGCCAAGTCTAGCACTCGTGCCAAAGGTTGCCTAACCTCTGACATAGACGCTCTGGAACAGTGGGAAAGATCATGGCAAATGTCTTTCAAACCCGACAAATGTAAACACCTACAACATCATATAAATACCTCGGCATTCACATCACTACTAATCTTACTTTTAACACCCAATGATTTCATCATCCTGTTGTTGTCCAACAGAGCTAAGATTTATTTTTTGTTTATCAATTATTTGACTTTGTCATGATTATTAATCTTGCTTGATATTTGATTGATGTAATAACGTAGAAATACAGCTTAGTTTGTCCTTATTACAATTAACTATTTGTTTTATCTTTTAAAATAATATTCAATTCACAGAGCATGTCTGTTTGATTTTAGTCTTTGCTTCTCTTGAGATCATTATTCTTGTATGTAATATTTAGATTTTTTAACTTGTGAGATAGATAATTAATTGCTTTCAGGATTATTTTATTTTGTTTGTTAATATTTGGTTCATTAGAATATAACGTAATTTTGGATATTGTTGATTTTGTTTTCGTCGTCTCATAGCTGTCTAACAAGATTTTATTACATAACACTGATAAGGAATTACTGATTATTAAATGTTTTGATTTTCAAAAACATTTAATATTGTCATTTTGAAATACATTGATAAGTTACTTAAAATACACCATAATTATTGAAAAGAATTGAACATTAATTAATCTAACATAATAAGTCTTGATACTTAAAAACATTTAATGGGTGTTGTGGAATAGGGGGCCACAACAACAATCCTGTATGGCTGATTGCATGTGCTTGCTTGTCTTTTGCGTGACTGATTGTCCGTATGCTTGTCTGTGCTTTTCACGGCTGATTACGTATGTGGTTACTTTTGTTTTGCATGGCTGAATGGTTACGCGTTTTCCGTCTTTTTTTTTTTTTTTATAAGATTGCATATTGTATAATAAAATGACCATGTCCATTTTTTAAATACGTGACCGTTTTTATAATGGGCCTGTTCATTTTTAAAGGCTAGGTTTGTTCAGGTGAAGGGAAACTTAGACATCTAACAATACCGCAAGGATGACTGCGTACATGCTTGCCAGCTTTGCATATGGCTTATTGCCTGTTCCATTAAAAATGGAATTGTCCATCTTTTGAAATACATTTCGATTTTTTAAAGGTTAGGTTAGAAGTGAAAAATTAGGCATCTAATAATATTGCATGGCTGATTGTATATGTGCTTGGCTGATTGCATAATCCATTAAAAAAGGGACATGTCCATCTTTTCAAATACGTCCATTTTTTACAGGCTAGGTTAGGTGAAGCGAAAAAATAGTAGCAAATGGCTGATTTAAAATGCAAATTTGCAATGCTGCATGCATGTTTGCGCACGTACGCATGCACATAGCAATGCTGTATGGCTGATTACGTACGTGCTTGCCTGTGTTTTGCATGGCTTATTGCATGCATGTTTGCCTGTGTTTTGCATGGCTTATTGCATGCATGTTTGCCTGTGTTTTGCTTGGCTGATTGCATATCAAAGAATTAACATGTCCCTCTTTAGAAGTTCAATAGTTCAAAGGATGTACCTATTTTTTAATGGTTAGGTTAGGTTAGATGAAGGGAAAAACAGAGAACTAACAACGTTGCATTGCAGATTGCGTACGCGCCTGCCTGCATATTGCATGGTTGACTGCATTGCGTTCTTTTTAATGGCTCATTACCAGTGTTTTGCATGGGTCATTGCAAATTCCTTTATAGAATGGACATGTCTATCTTTTAAAGTGCATGTATATTTTTCAAAGGACATGTCCATTTTTTAAAGGTTAGGTTAGATTGAAATTCTATACGTACTTGTTTGTCTTTTGCATGATTCATTGCATATGTGTTTGCCTCTGTTTTGCATGGCTTATTGCAGACGCGCTTGTCTGTCTTTCCATGGGTCATTACATATTTCATCAAATATGGACGTCCATATTTCGAAGTACATGATTTTTAAAAGGACATGTCCATTTTTTTAAGGTTAGGTGAAGCGAAATTTCAGACATGCAACATGTTTTACGGCTTCTTGCATACGTGCTTGCCTGTGTTTTCCATGGCTAATTGCATATTCTATCAAAACATCTGTTGAAATACATCTCCTTTTTTCGAATGACATATCCACATTTTTAAGGTTAAATTAGGTTAGGTGAAGCGAAAAAATATACATCTAACAATGTTGCATGGCTGATTGCATGTGCTTGCCTGTCTCTTGCGTGACTGATTGCATGCATGCTTGCCTGAGCTTTTCTTGGCTGATTACGTATGTGCTTACCTTTGTTTTGCGTTACTGAATGTTTTTTGCATAGCTGATTGCATATTGTATTAAAAAATGAACATGTCCATTTTTTGAAATACGTGTCCGGTTTTATAAAGAGCATGTCCATTTCTTAAAGGTTAGGTTTGCTCAGGTGTAGCTGAAATTAGACATCTAACAATGCTGCAAGGCTGAGTGCTTGCCTGTATTTTGCATGGCTAATTGTATATTCCATTATAAAATGGTCATGTCCATCTTTTAAAGTACATATGCTTCTCACTCTTCCCAGCTTCAGCTGCGCGGGTTCTTGGGCGCCCACGCCCACGCCCAGCAACAACGTGATGTAAATGGTGTAGAGTATTCTACGGGGGTTTCACACGTGGGTAGTGCTAAAATACGTTTAGGTTACATAATATACTTGCAACTACACGGTGTAAGAAGTGCAGATGAATCTAGATGCAGACTGTGTAACGAGGAAAATATGTGAACCCTTTGAGCACTTTATCTTGGAGTGTCATCTGATACAGCCTTTCGGGCGACCCAACATGAGGTATGAAGAACTGTGATTATTTCATTGCATCTGATACACTGCAAGATATACTCATGCTATATCCTAAATTTACTATGTAAAATTGTCGTACTCATAGAACACTGTTA